TGGACATCTTCTGCGACCACTCTTTAATCTTATACATGAGCTTATAGTTTGTCCATTTGCTGCCCTCAAGTGAATAATCGCCTTTGCAGTCCATCATTCCTCCTTCGGGTCCCATTCCTCGAGTCTTGACTTTAATTTTATGGACCGGATCTTTGTTACCACATCTCTTGGCGCTCATCATCTCTTTGGTCTTGTCGTCTAATTCTCCTTATATTTCGATAATTATAAATCAGTTATTTTATGGCAATTATAATAACAATTGAAATGTTTTCAATGTGTTTACCCGTCACTAAGAGTCCAAAAAACATCTGAAAGTTTTTGATGCCTCTCTTAATTCCCTCAAGACTTCTGGTATTTACTGATATATAACCATATTTTAACAGATAATCCTTTGACAATAAAAAATATTTCAGATTTCGTTTAATTTATATTTATTTTAATATAAACTAATGATAATTTTGATATTTTAGTGATTAATTATTGATAATTGAATAAACAATAAAAGCGTGACAAAAATAAAATTATTGATTCATATAAACGGAAAATTCAATTAAAAAAATTATAAAATTTCTTTAAAAATGACATCAAATTCTAATAAAAGTTCAGATAATTTGGAGGATATGTTGAAAAAGATGGTACCGTTTGAGAAATGCAATACAGACATCAATTTCATTCAAATTGACGAAAATGACAATAACTTAGAAGAAGGCAACAGTTTTCCAACGGTTTGGCAGAAAATAGACTCCGATGTGAACCGAAGAAGTGGTTCTCATTTGAGCCAAATATTGAGTGCAATCTATAAAACAAGATTTCTTCTGCCAATCAGTCAATTAAATGTCAATTATGAGAGCGCTCTTAAGGGAAGACATCCACACATTATTGGGAAGATTCTCATCACTGATGACAAAAGTTATGCTTTACTGACGGATATAATTGACGTCAATCTTCTCAAAGAAGAACCGTTTGGTATATCATGTGATTATAACATCAAAGATGTTTTGCCACAAGAACTCATCCAAAAGTATCACATAATTTATTTGATTTGTTTGACTGAAATGAGAGACAA